TCCGGCGCTCATGCTGGGTTCCGGTGCCGCCCACAGCCCTCCCCGCACCACCGCCGGGCCCGGCAGGGGCCACGGTCCCACTGGCAGCCTCAGCAGGGCGGCCGGCACCGCTCGCCTGCCTTCCCCTCCCTTGATGAATGGCACTATTAACCACAGCCTTCTCCCGCGGAGCCCGGGGTATTCATCTGAGCAGGGCAGCCGGAGATGGATGCGCTGCCACAACCCATTATGGGCAGCATCTTAGTTGGGCTCCTCGCCGCACCAGCAGCCCAGCCCCAGTGAAGCGGGGCAGGCACCGAGACCCCCCGGAGCACGCCAGTCATCAGGAAGCCCGCAGGCAGCTGCCTGCACATCCTGCACCCCAGCAGGAGCATGGGGGGGGGTTTAGGGGGATGTGGCAGCCATGCCAGGAGGGTCCCATGTGCCAGCATGCCAGCATCCCGCCCGGGTAATCACTTGTAATTAGGGAACATCAGGACCTGGGATTAGCAATCAGAGCCTGCCCCTTCCCCGGTCCTCCCCAGTAATGGTGAGTAATTGATACTAATAACACACTAATTAATTCGCATCCTGATCAAGCCAATGATGAGGCTCCCTTGGACTTCAGCGGTGGCAGGATCGGGCCCCACGCAGTGGGGCGGCAAGGCTGGGCTGTCCCTGGCCGTTGCCGGGACGGGTGCTCAGCACCGTGCTGGCTCTGTCCCACTCAGGATGGCACAGCGGGGCCAGGAGCGGGTGCTTCGAGGGGTGAGGAAGGGTTCCCTAATTGTTTTCAGGCGGGAGGATTTACGTAGTGTTATTATTTTTCTTCCTCGTTGCTAAAAATAACCTAATCAGCCTGGCCTTTGAAGCTACCAGGGGGGTAAATAGCATCTTAATATGGATGTGTGTGTCAGCATAATCAGCGCGCAGAAAAGGGCCTGCGATGATGGAAGAGTTTAGCATTTAGAGCTCATTAGGCCGATACGGTACCGAGCGGCGGGTCGCTGGCAGTCTGCCGTGCTGCGCCGCATCCTCGCCTCTGCTTGCCTGCCGCCGCCTTGTCCTTGCTCCTCGCCGCAGGGTGACCGCAGCCACGGGCACGCGGGTGCTCTCGGCACGGCTCCCCGGCCACGTGCCCCGGCAGAGCTTGGCTCTTGGACTATGTCCAGCAGGGTCGGGGTCCCCCCCAAAAATGAGTCAAGCCCGCTGACCCCGCTCTGCGCCCCACAGGTACATCCAAGGCGCCTCCTCCCCGAAGGACATGGTCATCATTGTGGACGTGTGAGTACATGAGTGGGGGCTGTGGCTGGGCTGAGCGAGGGCACGTCTTGCCGGGGAGCCACTGTCCCACCAGTGGCCCTGGAGAAGCTGTGTGGGACAGTGCTGGCGGGGAACCCCGTGCCCCCTCGCTGCCAAGCCCCCAGCACCCTTCTTTCCTGCCAGGAGTGGCAGCGTGAGCGGCCTCACCCTCAAGCTGATGAAGACCTCGGTCTATGAGATGCTGGACACCCTCTCAGATGATGACTACGTCAATGTGGCCTCGGTGAGTGCCGTGGGGCAGGCAGCTGGGCTGTGCCCCCCTGGCAGCACCCGGCTCCCCACTGCAGGAGCCCTCTGCCCCCAGACCCACCTGGCCAGTGGTTCTGCAGAGAGAGAAATGCCTTTTTCTTCTTCTTAACCGCCCACCTGCACCTCAGCAAGGAAGGGTCTGCTCAGGGTTCGGCCATTAGTGGTGGCGAACGAAAGCCACCTCCATCACAGGGTGTTTGGCAGAGATGCTCCCGGGGTGATCCCAACCCGCCACCTTCTGTCCATCACCAGGCAGTGACATCATGCCCCCCGTGACGATGTCACCAGCCCGTGACCTCACGCAGCACGGTGGCTGTGCCACCACATCTGTGCATCGCTGGGCACCCAGCCCATGCCGGCCGGCCCTGTCTGGCCGCAAACACGCCGGCGCTAATTAACGTGTCTGGCCTGGCTCCGTTAGCTGGATCGCTGCTCCCCTAATGAATGGGCCCTATTGCCAGCAAATGAAGCCGTAAGCAAGAGGCAGCACCTGAT